GGGGGGGTTGGGGGGATCAGGAGAGAGTTTGGGGGACTAGAAGGGTGTTTTGGGGGTGTTTAGGAGGCCAGGGAACTGTTTTCAGGGGGCCACGGGTGCTTCCGTGGGGCTGTGGGGAGTTCTGGGGGGCTGTGGGTGGTTTTGAGGGGTCACGAGGGGTCTTGGGGGTCCATTGGGTGGTTTGGGGGGAGGGGGGGGGGCTCACAGGCGGTTCTTCATCTCCTCGGGGGTCTTGCGGTGCAGCTCCCGGTACGAGTCCTCGAAGACGTGGTCGCGCCGCACGTGCACGGCCATGTCCTCCTTGCGCAGCCCCTCGTCCAGGCGCTCCAGCTCCTGACGGAAGTACCTGCGCAGGGAAAAGGGGTCAGGGGGGGCCTGGGAATTCCCCCCAGAGCCCTGGGAACACCCCAGACCCCTGTACACACCTCAGGGTCCCCCTAAACTCCTTCCCAATACCCTCAGGCTCCCCCCAAACCTCATCCTGATGTCCCTCCCTCCCAGGCTCCTCACAAACCCCTTCTCAAAACCCCAAATCCCCTCCCACCCCAAAGACCCTCAAAATCCCTTCTCAAAAGCTCCAGGCTTCCACTAAACAGCCCTAGCCCCCTCCCCAACCCCTCAAATCCCCCCCAACCCCTTCCCCACACCCCAGCGTTCCCCCCAAGCCCCTCCCCAGCCTCCCCAGCCCCCACTGACTTGCGCTTGACGTCGAAGTCGAGCACCCTGATGTAGTCGACGAGGACGGCGAAGGGGCCGTCGGCCAGGTGGGTCGTGGACTGGCGCAGGATCTGGTTCAGCACCGTCCGGTGGGTCTCTGGGGGGCACAGAGAGGGTTGGGAGGTGTCCCGGAACGGGGAGACACCCCCCTCGTGGGTAGGACCCCCTGGAAGGGGCCATTTGACCCCGTGAACTCATCCCGAGTCCCCCCACCAACCTCGGCACACACAGACCCCCCAGATCCTGCCAGGGGTCCCTTGAGGAGCCCCCTGAGCCCCCCAAAACCCCTCCCCAAACCTGCAGTGTCCTGCACATCCCCCACAAATCCCCTTCCAGAGATCCAGGATCTGCCCATATCTTCCGAAGCTCCAGGCTCCAACCTAAGCCCTCCAAATCGCCAGATCCAACCTCAACCCCCCCCCAGGCTCCCCCAAAATCCCTCTGTAAAGTCCTCAGACTTCCCCCAAATCCCCCTCTGAAACCCCTTCCCAACACTTTGAATCTCCCCCAAAACCTCCTCCCAACACCTCAACCCCCCTCTCCAGCCTCCCAGACCCTTCCCAACCCCCCTATTCCAAGCCCCCCTCACCAGCGAAGCGCAGGAATTTCTGGGTGTCGAGGGACAGGCTGGCCCCTCAAACCCCCTCCTGACACCCCAAAATCCCCCTAAACCCCCCTCCCACCCCCATTGCCACCCCATTGCCGGCCCCCTCACCAGCGAAGCGCAGGAATTTCTGGGTGTCGGGGGGCAGGCTGGCTGAGATGTGCATGGCCGAGGGCTCCCGGGAGAAGAAGGGGTCGAGGGCTGAGGGTGTGGCGGGGGTCAGGGGGGCAGGGGACAGCGGGGGGGGCTCATCCTTGATGTGGGACAGTTGGTTCTCCCGCGTGTCCCGCACCGGGGGGCGGCTCTCCCGCTCCGTGGCGTGAACCAGGAAAAAGGCTTCGACCGCCGGCTGGAGAACTGAGGGAAAACGGGGGTCAGGGGGGATGGAGACCCCCCCAGAGCACCCCAAATATCCCCCTAGAGCATCAGGAACCACCCTAAACCCCCCTCAGAGCAGCAGGAAAAAAGTTTCAACTAGCTGGAGAACTGAGAGAGAATGGGGGGTCAGGGGGGCTGGTATTGGGGGGTGGGAACCCGAAATAGGGGGAGGGAGACCTGAAACTGGAGGGAGGAGAATTCTTCCCACAAAATTGGGGGGAGAACTCAAAAATCAGGGGGAAAACCTGAAATAGGAGGGGAACCCTGAAATTGGGGGTGGGAACCCAAAACTGGGGGAAAAACCTGAAGCTGGGGTGAGGGGGAGCCTGAAAATCAGGGTGAGAACCCAAAATAGGGGAGGGAACCTGAAACGGAGTGGGGGTGAAATGAAACTTCACCAGGGAAATCTGAAATCTGGGGGGACATAAACAACACCTGAAACTGGGAGAACCTAAAACTGAGGGGAGGGGACTCCCAAAGATTGGGGGGTGGGGTTTCCCCCTATGGGGTTTAGGGACCTTTCAGGGTTTCAGAGCCCCCTGCAGGTTTTGGGGCTCCCCATGGGTTTCAGGACCTCTTCTTGGGTTTGGCCCCCCCCTGTGGGTTTCGGGGCCCCCCTGGAGGATTTAGGGACCCCCCATGGCTTTCAGGACCCCCCCCAGGTTCAGGGCCCCCCCAGGGGTGCCGGTACCCACCGAGCACAGCATGCTGGTCGTGGGACTCCTCCAGCTCCTTCAGACACTCGCCCAGCATGTCCCAGAGCTCGTCCAGGCACAGCTGCTCGCTCAGCAGGGGCAGCTCGGGGGGCCTCTCGTCCCGCTCCCCACCCTGCGACCCCTCCGAGCCTGGAGGACGGTGGGACACAAAGTCAGGACCCCCCCTGTGCCCATTGACTCCACCCCACACACCAGTACAGCCCAGTTTGGGTGAGACTGGGATTGCCCCACACCAGGAGGGAGCGGGTCACCACCCACCCTGGTACTGGGAACAGTGGTGGGTTACTGGGATGGGGAGGGCAGACTGGGTTGGACTGAGCTGGACTAGATTAGACTGTGTTGGACTGGGCTGGACTGGGTTGGACTGGTTGGGACCAGGCTGGACTGTTCTGAACAGGGTTGGACTGGGCTGGACTAGATTAGATGAGGTTGGACGAGTTTAGGCTGGGTTGGACTGAGTTGCACTGGTCTGGACTTGTTTGGACTGGGGTAGACTGAGTTTAGATTGGGTTGGACTGAATTTAAACTGGGTTTGACTAGTCTGGACTGGTTTACACTGGTGTAGTGTAAACTACACCACAGGGTAGTGGTATAGTCCACTGGGGTGGACTGGTCTGGACTGGTCTGGACTGAGTTTAGACTGGGTTGTGCTGGGGGTCTCACCCATGT